ATTCACAAGAATGAACGATGAGACTATGAGCAGTTAAATTATATTCTACTCAAGATAAATTTAATGATATAAACTTTGCAAAATCAATGCATTTTTGTTAAAAAATAATCCTATTAACACTACTAGTTGACGAAATAACTCGTAAAATCACTGATAATTGATGTATTAATTTTTAAGATTATCTTGATGTTCAATTGAGACACATTTAACTATATCAACTCGATGTTTTTCTGAAAAAAACTCTCTTCCTTGTTAATCAGTCGCTGCTGATAAGGCTGTTCTCTTCGAGTAATCGAAACGTGTTCGAATACTCGAAATTGAATGAGCGATAGGAGAATGTTTCCGAGTGCTTGTTTTTCGATGGGTATCGAGGGAAACGAAATTCAAACAGAACGAGAAAAATATATATATATTCACATTTCGATTACTCATCGCACTCATCCTTTACTTTTTAATGTCCGCTTGGGTACTCCGACGTAAGACAAAGTACGAAGCTCGGGCTAGTTTCAAATTAAAGCTAGTCTCCATACGCAACTTTTATCCGAACAAAATTTCGAAATTCCCTTCCATTCATTTTTTTATGACCATTTTAATGGTTATGGTGTTCAAAAACAAGCATAAAAAAGGTGAGTCAATAGGTAGTAAATTCCACTTTTCTCACTCCAGGAATCAAGTATCAAAAATTCCTTCGGACAAAAGTTAGCTTGATGAAGATCTTTAAAAGAAAAAAAATACATCGATTATATCCCGAACAGGAACAGAGTTTTTCTATCTAGAAACCATATTTTGAGAAAACCGCTAAAGAAATTTTAGCAATGGATTTTTTTATTCAAATCGAGAAAAAAACATATTACAATGGTATATTCCTAATTTATTCCAGTCGATTGTTCCAAAATACGTAAAAGGTGAAGGTATTAACGTCATCTGACATGTTGGATAATATAAAAATGTTATACTCAATGCGAATGCAAGTGGCAATGCAGTTTTCCAAAGCCGAAAACTCCTTAAAAAAACCATGAAAGTTTTCCCATAAATATGGTAGTCGATTCAAAGTTTGATGTGATAAGTCTTTGAAAATATGCTCATTTTCTAAATAGCCATATATATTCTGAAAGGAGCTTTGCTGCATCTTCCTATGCTAAAAACTCAGTTACGTTATTTCTGTGAAAAATTGGATCCTCTAAAGAGTAGAGCCCTTAAAAAGATGTGCAATGAAATGCTTTAAAAAAACTCTACAAGCAGACTTCTATTGATTTTCGTCTACAAACAATATGTGTGATAGTGCTATTTCGCTTCATATTGAGCAGAATAAATATCTTAGAAAAACTTTTATATTGCATATATCTCGACATATGACCATGATAAAATCTTCAATTTTTTTGAAATATGCATCATGAAACACTTTACAAGGGTTGTATAAAGAAATTTCAATTGGCTTGCTCTAATGATATTTTCCATATTCAAAATAAACAACTTTTGTGATCGTACTATGTCTCATCATCTTGAGCATAATAAAAATTTTTGGATAACTTTTTTTTCTTTTTTGAAATAGAAATTTGTTCACATGAATTATGTAAGACTTTCAACTATGCATCTTTCAAAAAAAAAAAAAAAAATCAAGATTTTATCATGTTCATATGTTGCGATTTATGAAAAATAAAAGCCTTTCTAAGATTTTTATTCTGTTCAATATGAAATCAAATCGCACTATCACACATATTGTTCATTTTCAATAAGGAGAAAGTCTTTAGATGAAATCAATAGAAGTCCGTTTGTAGAATTTTTCAGAAGCGTTTCATCACACATCTTTTAAAAAAAGCATTCACTAATTTATCATTTTCCTAAACCGATATACATGGGAAATAAAATATTTTACCATCATTTTGATACATATGGTAATAATGACATTTCTATAGAAACTTGTTATTTGTTATCTTTGTTTCTCTGATATACAGCAGCAGTAGCACCAATACTTCTACAATTTTTATCTACACTATGAACCCTATCTATGAATACAACATAAGCTTGAACAGACGTTATCAGTTGAATATGTTTCCTTGTAAACAATGAAAAGATAAAATTTTATATTTTCTTTTTTTTTTAAATTTGTGTAAAAGTGTAAATTGAAGACGATAATCAAAACTTCTTATTATCATTTTTTTTTCATATAAATATTCATGTATTTCATTGGAAATGCTCTTTTTCATGACAATATTCTTCTCATGAATATTGATAAATAAATATGCATAAAATAATGAAGCAAAATAAACAAATTTCTAATGGTAGAAATCACTTGAAATTAGTTTGTGTCTCTATAGTGTAGAGTTGAAATTCTTCTATCAACGCTTAAATATTCTGTATTAGAAAAATATTTTTATTAAAATAAATTTATTTCACAGATTATATTTTCTTACACATGATCATATTAATATCTTTGTAGACATTGTTTTCTCACAACAATATAGAATATATGATACTTTTCTCTTTTATTTGTAATATAGTAATAATATATCAATCTATAATTGCAAAAGGAAAATAGTCTTGTAAAGATTTTGAATATTCAAATTTTCCGAATAGCCATAGTTGATTTATTTTGGTACAATTAATTCGTGTATCATTTCTTGTAAAATTATGTGTTACTCTTTGTAATGCTTCATAATGGACATCAAGAAGAATATTATTTTGGAAACATGTTTTCATATTACATAGAAATTCTTCGATATAATTATTATGAGTTCGATGATCTATGTGAAGTTCAATAAGATAATTATATTTAACAATTGATAAATTCTGATTATTATTCATTAGTTTATAAGATTGTTTATGATTTTGTGCATAATGATTATTGATATGTAATTTTTCCATAAATGGAAATGATTGAGATATTCGAATAAAAAATTCATGTTCAAAAGGATATTCATCATATAATGATACAACACGAACATATGGATATAATCCACCTGGAAAATTATTTGTTACATATTCGTAATGTCTCATTAAAAATGGATATGAATAAATATGACATAAACTCTCTTTATACTCTAGAAAATAATCAACACAAGATATTATTTTTGTATATGGAAAATCATTGAATGTTCGTTGAATGTCTTCTTTCGATGGTAAATTCATATCATTATTAATAAATATAACCGAACGAATATCAAATGTAAATTGTTTTAATTGTAACATATGACTGAGAATATTTTTCTTTAAATTATGTCCATCAATAAATGTTTTTTCAACAGAGACTGTTAGATCCAAACCAAGTTTTTCTAAATTTGACATTCGATAAAGAAGTGGTAAAATTAATTCCTTGTAATGCGATGTTTTCGACAAACAAGATAAAACAAAATATTTCAGATTTGGAATTTTTCTCTAGAAAAACAAAAACAAAATCAAATTTATTTTCTTTTATAACTAACTTGATTTTCAATTTCTTCTGATGGACCATCAATATTAGCCAATTCAATATAAAGTGTATGAAGTTGATCGAAACGACCATCAAGAATATAAAGACATACATCAAAAGTTTGAACCTTGATATTTAATACCAAAAGAGATGAAGAAGAAAAAATAGATGGAATTTTAAATAATCGAACATTATCTTTATATGATGCATCGCAAAATATTAAATGAGTTAAATTGATAAACACAGTAAAGATCTGATTAGATATGTTTTCCATTGTCAACCATTCATTTTTATCTGGATCAATAGCAATAGTAAGTGTTGTAATTTGATTTTTAAAAATAGAAGATAAAAACCTTTCGTCTAAACACATAGATAGTATTAAACAATTTAATCAATTTTACATATACTTATAATCAAAGACAAAAAGATTAATATGATCTTTGACAGAAAAGAATTTTTCTTTCAAACATAATCTCTTCTTCACATCAATTGTCTCTTTTATATATAATCCATAATAAAGGACGGGTCCGTATAAGGGCCTATTTTGGCCCCTTTTGAT